TAAAACGCAGCATTCCAGGATACAGCTAAAAAGTTTGTGCTCTCAAAGGCAGAAAGTAGGTGAAAGTTAGTGGCCATATATTCTCTCATAGGCAGAAAGCAGGTGAATGAAACCCCGGCCTGATAAATAATCTATTTTCAGTGATAAAATCTGGTGCTGTGGATTTTCTTGAGTATTCATGCAACCTGTATGCTGTCACCATTTTAGCACCCTTATATACAATTTTTATGCAGTAGTTGTGTTTTGGGTCCAGATGCTGATGCTATTTTCTAGTTGTTTGACCCGTCTTTGTCCATGGAACCAACTGTCGATGATATCTGATTGGTTTCTGGAGCTCCCACTTCATCAGTTAAAATTTAGTCATATTTAGCTGAAAGCAGCTCCTAGCCCTATCAAATAGATTGCCTGACCCTAACGAAAGATTGATCAACATTGTTAATCTCTGCATCTACATCAGTTTAACAAAAGATGACATCCTGTGCTTTGATCAAGCAGGCTGACTTATGAACTAGACTACAAAGGGAACATCTGTGGCGACAAGCATGGCAACCCAAATTTGCAGGAGCTGGATGTTAGGTACTGGATGAATCCGAACCAAGTCTACCAAAGTGGACTCAAGGACAGCAAGGTTAACCTGGCTGATGCCAAAGCCATCTGCCTGATGGAGTGCCCAAATCCAGCTGTAGATGGATTGAACTTCATTTGTGATTATCCAGAAGGGGACATCCACCTCTCTGTTGATGACTGGATCAATAGGGACTATGACTATTTTGAGTTTCTCACACCAGACATGAGGAATAGCTCACTTCAACTCCAGGGTCCATGCTACCCTATCATATTTCCAACTGTAAATGGTAATATTAATTCTGCTGTCATTTTGTGTGTCCTTTTACTTTTAAAAGTAATAAGGGCTAGATAGTATGGCGTGATTTATTTATTCAGTAAATTCATACTGTGAGATAAGCAATTCAATTTTCTTCCCCCTCAGTCTATTGGAGCTGCCAATTTATTGCACGGGCATCCAATGTCTCTTTGAAGCACTGGCATGAGATGGGTGGTGTCAGCATTGATGAAAATATCCTCATTGATAAAACAGTGCACAAGGCCATCGATTCTAGATCTGCTGTATTAAAGGTCTGTAAACTTCTTGGCATAATTTTGTTGCCCACCTAGTCATTTCTATCTTCACAAGAAGTCGCTGTTTTGTACTAACATCAAGTGACAAATGGTTTATCCTGAATTTGCTTTAAACTACATATGTCAAATTCCTGCTCAAGATTGATAACTATTCTGCTGCATTTAAAGAAAATCCTGATGCAGCCTAATGTATATAGCATGTTACATACTTCAGTTGGTTTATCTTCTACTGCAGAGATATATTGCAGACATTGGGAAGTCCTGGCCTGTGTTCATCGTTTGTGGTGGAATCCTCCCTGCTTTCCTGTCAGTGATGTGGTTGCTTATGATTCGTTATTTTGTTGCCGCCATGACTTGGATCACAGTAGTCCTCTTCAATGCCCTTGTTATATCTGTAACGATGTTCTTTTACATCAAAGGTATGATTCACTATTCCAATTCCTAGTTACAAGGTATATTCACAAAGAAAGATTCAAGCTATGGATTGTACATATATCTAATCCATGGCTCACTTCTTGTAACTGCTGCATCAAACATTCAGCTGGCTGGATAGGCAATGACCCCTTAACTGTTGTCATTGGTGAAAGTGATCCATATGTTCACATAAGTGGGCGGGTAAGTACTTCCAACTGAATCAATCTGTTGCAAGACATAGCTGCTTCTGCTTGAAATCTGATGGTCCCATCTTCTTACCAGGAAATAAGCCACCTTCATACTGTTACAATCCTAATGACAGCAGTAATGATCATTGCTTTCCTGTCCTCAATAGCTATTGTCCGCCGTATACTGATAGCAACACCTGTCTTAAAGGTAAGCAAATAGTTGGATACATCATAGACAACTGTTTCGAATGTGATAGCTGATAGCTCCTAAACACTAACCAATAACCTTTACACATGGTTTCAGGTTGCTGCAAAGGTCATTGGTGAAGTTCAGGCACTGATAGCTTTTCCACTTTTGCCATTCCTGATCCTTTCCATCTTTTATATGTTCTGGTTTTCTGCTACACTCCATCTCTTCAGCTCTGGTCAAGTTGTCCGAAACGATTGCAATACTGATTGTTGTTCGTATGATCTGAAGCTGGGCAAAGTAAATTGTGACAACTGTTGTGGGTACAACATCCATTACACCCCTCATATCAGCATTGCCATTCTATTCCACTTATTTGGCTGCTACTGGGCGACTCAATTCATTCTCGCATGCTCTTCAACTGTGGTTGCGGGATCAGTTGCTTCTTACTACTGGGCGCGTGGTGAAATAACAGTAAGCACTTCGAAGTCTGAAATCTAACTGAATTGTTTCACATAAAAATTATCTGTATTTATCTTTTCCCCATTTTTAGTCTATGTATATTCTCCCGTGCTGACCATTCAAGCAATTTCAATGCAGCATGATATACCATTTCTCACTGTAGTCTCTTCATTGAAGCGACTGATGCGCTATAGCCTTGGATCTGTTGCTCTGGGTTCACTTGTTGTATCTGTTGTTGAGTGGGTGCGGTTTATACTAGAATGCCTCCGTCGCAAGTTGAAGCTAGTTGATTCTGCTCGAGAAAGTTGCTTTGGAAAAGCGACGTCTTCCTCTTCTGAATGCTGTCTGGGTTGCATAGACTGGACCCTAAAGTCAGTAAATCGAAATGCCTACATTATGGTCAGTATGAAGATTTGCTACACGCCAGTTCTTCTCATCCTAATAGTTCTGAATGCAACTACTGACAACTATATACTTGATCAGATAATTAAACCCATTTGACTTGGCATTCTGCTAATATGGTGTTGCTATTCTGTGTTGATTCTTGAGATTCCTGCACCTTAAAGCTATTTTTCACCTAGAACACGTGAAAGCACATGTCATCCATGTTACATGGCTCTTTTGTTAAACACAAAGTTCTTATAACCTTGTTTTGCTGCTGCAGATTGCCATTACTGGGAAAGGTTTCTTCAAAGCTTCAGTGCTCGCAACTGGATTAATAATGAAGAACATACTGTGCATTGGAAAAGTCAACGTCATTGGAGATGTTATCCTCTTCCTGGGAAAACTGTGTGTGAGCCTATTCTGTGCGCTTTTCGCCTTTCTGATGTTAGACACCCACAAGTACAAGTCCGCACACAACAAGATATCATCTCCAGTCATCCCTGTCCTGGTGAGCCAACTGAAACCTTATTTTGTCCACTGAACTTCTCAGATCGTCAGATTTCATTTCCATTTGCTGAAACCTGAAGCTAAACTGCCTTGTGACGATATGCTGACACTGCAGGTGACATGGGCCCTCGGCTACATAGTCGCGAAGCTTTTCTTTGCGGTGGTTGAGATGTCGATCGACACCATAATCCTCTCGTTCTGCCAGGACGCCGAAGAGCACCAGGGGAATGCGCAGTATGCGCCCCCTGCTCTGATGGAAACTCTGGATGAACAGGGCGAACTGCAGAGACTAACTCAAGGGCCTTGACTGTTGTTTCCTCTTGGGCATCCCCCTTCTTGGTAGCATGGAAACTTTAGCAGCAGCCAAATCTTTTGATACCCCGTTCTCTTGGCTTGTGAAGAGGTTTGCCATTTTGCTTGCTACCCTTCCTACTTTCCTCTACAATTCTGAATCTGACATGTTCTCCTGGCCCAATTGGCATGTGTAGGCAGCTTATCTAATATATGTGTGTGCTATTGCTGATACAGCGTTAGTGAAGTAGGTTGGAATCTATGATGAGTACGTCATATGTGAGTTCATCTATTAATCCCATTTGTTGCATTTCAATCCTCGACATATACATTTAACATTTTGGTGCTGTGACTGGAGTAACATCATGTCGAGTGTTGAAGCCAATTAAGGAGTAAAACAGTGACACCTTTAATGGCGTAGGATCAAAATTTCCAATTTCCAACAGCTGAAAATACTAGTGACATTTTCTGTGGAAAACTCAACCATGTATTCATTCTAAAGTGCGTTGCGAATCCAGCCTAGCTCTCTATATCCATCCTACTCGCCAGCGCCACGCTTGACATGGGTCCATCGGAGTTCACAACGAAGGTCTTGGTTCTGACTCAATCAAAAGACTCGTTCTATATATTATGCTCCTCTAATACCAATTTACATGTTGGGACGTTGGGTCCACCATTAATTACCGAGGTGGAGTAACAACATACAAGATGTAGGAACGATGTCCACACCTACAATCTGGTATCGTCGTCGACGTAGATGCCCGCGTCGCAGCAGTCTCGCCGCCTCATTCCTCCCGGGTCCAGATCCACGAGGAGCGGCTGCGCAATGGGAGGGAGGGTCGGAGTCGGAGTCAGCAGCGCAGACGGCGGCGCAGGGTGTACCAGCACTTCTTGCATGGAGTGCCGATGATGACCCTCATCCTGCGCCTGCATGGCGCCGCCACCACCTTGGAAACCGCCGTCCGGACCTGGTGCCCCTGCCCCGGCTTGCGCTTCCCGGCAGCGGCAGCAGCCGGCACCACAGCCAGCGCCACGGCCGACGTCTGCGGCTGTGCAACGCCCAGCAGCCTCCTCGGCGCCGCCCTGCATGGCGACGGTGGAGACGACGCCGGCACCGTGCGCATGCGCGCCTCGTCTCGCGTCGCGGCGGAGCTGTGGAGAATGGAAACGAGCCCTGGGGTGGGACAGGAATGGAGAACGCGATGGTCCCGGATCTTCCGTTTGGTTCGTTCGCCATGGATGGTGCTCGTATGCGACACGGATCACGGATGGGAGAAGCCATTTCTCATCCAAATCTTTTTGTATATAAGTGTATATATATGTCTATACCATGATCTACCTCCAAATTAATCCAGTGCTACACTAGCATCTTAGTCTTCAGTCTGCACTAGCAAGCCATCCATGGCATGCACGGGAGCGCGCGGCGCGCATCACGTGGGCTCCTCATGGCTCATGCGCGTCGGCGTACCGGAGCCCGTCCTCAGCGCGGCGAACCCGGGCATGGACGCCGACCTGGTCACGTTGCCTCCGCGGTACGACGGCGACGACGGCGCGGAGACGGAGGCCTGCTGCAGGAGCATGGCGTGCCCGCTGCCGCCGCCGCCGCCCGGCGTCGGCATGGGCGCGGGGTGGAAGCATGGGGTGCCGGGCCTGGGGCCACCGTGGCCGCTGCCCGACTGACGATGCATCTCGATCTTCAGGTACGGCGGGCGGCCCCCGGCCCTCGGGGTCTCGTCCGACGGCCCGTGGTGGTGGTGATCGTCGAAGTCGTCCTCGTCGTCGTCCGTGAGCGAGCACACCGTGCTCGTCTCCGTGCGGGCCGTGGAGTCGTCGCCGCGCCGGCGACGCCGCTTCTTCCTCGTCGCCTTTCCCCACCCGTGTATGGTCTCTCTGATCCTCCGTGGGATCAGCGCCGCCTTGTACTTGGACCCCATCTGTCGGCATGCAAGCATATCATTTAGCAAAGATGCATGATCAATTCTTCTCGTACGTACTGATGCATGTCTAACATTTCAAAACTAGAACTAATCGATATGAATTCATCAGAAAAGACATCTAATCTGAAGCATAAATGTGTTACCTGAGTGACCAGCGCATAAACAGGCAATGTACTGTAACTGCACAGGAACTGTCCAGCAAACCTGACATTTTGCATTGGTGGAGTTTATCATACACATATATATAGATATAGATATGATAATTATTTTTCTCAGTTTCATGATTTAAATGAGTGCTAGTAGAAACTAAGGGTTCTGAAATGCATACCCCAGTATAAGGCGGCAATATACCAAAAGGTGGTTTTTGATGAAGCATGAATCATAACCAAATTGCCACTGCAGCAAAGCCAACGGATTTATATGTTACTACATAGCTTTTGAAATGAACAGAAAGGCTCTCACCATGTTTCACACGACTTATTTGAAACAGATAGACTGGACAGAAATGATACCCAGAACCAGAAGAACGAAGCCAACTCAAAGGCATTCTGCACAATTATCAAATTGAAGCGGGTAAGCTTATATTCATCTCTAAACTGCTTCCAAATTACATAGCAGTATATATGTACCTGAAAGAGAACGAAGTGTATTAACCAAAGGAGAAACTCTGGTTTCTTGAACCAAAACAGATCATCCCTTGGCTGTATCCTTGGCCCATAGGTGCTCATCTTTGCACCCTCTGCTGTTAGAGTTGCGATGACATGCTGCAGCTTTGCACCCACTAGAAGAACAAGCTACACAATATTCGCATTCTGAGTTAAAGGCCAAGTTTTTCAGAGAAATCTAGGTTGTATAATGTTGGAGAAGCAGGCTACAACTTACAGTTACAGGAAGAATTGCTATCCAAAAGTACAGGTTGGATCCTAAAACAAAATCACCATTTATGAACGTTGGACAGTGAGGAAACAAAAATATCTCAAAGGAAGGAAAGTGGTTCAAAGTTTACCGTCTACATTAAATAACATAAAACAAACAACGAAGCCCCACAACAGTCCACTGCATAAAAGGAGTAAGTTATTAGCTGATCATATTTCTCCAATATGAAAAAAATACTACAAATGCATATGCAGCCAACCACAGACACTAAACAGGGCTTACTATTACACTTACCTCACTCCAACAATCTTCTCAAACTCCTCTTCCATTGAGCGTATCATGTAATTGTGGAAATCATATGTTGGCGGAAGATTGTGGGTCTGCAATCATCAGTAAGTCAAGCATGAGTACATAACTACAAGGGTTTACATTTAGTTCACAGCAGTATGGATGGAACTATAGCGTGTCTCCAATGGGTTACAAATAGCAACACTCAATAAACCAATATAAAGGGTATCAGGTAAGGCCCAACACCAATATGAATAAACACACTGAAGGCCAAGTATAGGAGAGTTCTACTCAGAATTGAAGAGCAAAGAACTGGCGTACCATTATAAAACCCTTGCGGAGGATAAGATAATCTGCTCGAACAACAGACTGACCAAATTGTGCAATAAAGCAAACCTGCATGGTAGCATAATCAAAACCGTAAGTTTGACTATAACAGTGAAATAATGACAGTAATATTTCTTGACCCTAAGTATGGAAGCAGAACATTGCTATAAAGTTTATTTGCCTCAACGTACAAGCCACATGACCACATTATTTTGGCTCCAAGAGCGGAATGAATAGGATTTGGTAAGTGCTGGTTGCCTTCTAGTTGCTGACTCATATGCGATCTCTGTCAAATGCAAATTAGAAGAGGAATAATCAGACTTAGTTTGATGACATTATGGTTAGTATCACCAATGACAAAGGAAAATGCTCCAACTACAGAAGTAAGGGAGGAGAAGCTTATTGCAGATCTATTTTCAAGAAAAGATATCAGTCTACCTGCAAGAGTTACTAAGATGAACTTCTTAAGCAACAATTGAAAACGATACTACAGTCTCCCTGACCAGAGTTTTTAATGCACACATTGCCCCAGAATGTGTTATTCAGAGTTTCAGATAAGAACAATACAAGTTTATTACTGATTTCCTTATTCTCAACTACTATTTAAGAAATGCTTTATTCTCAGAAGCCTCTCGCTTCTGTTTTGAATCATTACATCAAATGAATTTCCAATTTAAATTCTATAGTTTCTTCTGAAGGGTCAAAAGGATACACTTACGAGAAAATGATTCATGATTATCCCTGAATGCTTCATCCTCCCATTTTCTCCATTTATGGATCTAAAAGCATGCAAAGATTAGGATCAATGTGACATCAATGCGAATCATAATATATGTGAGCACAACCAATCTGAGAAAGTGAGAAGTGAGAACCAACAAAATGCATAAATAAGTGTTCTGTTTGTTCATGTGTATATGTTTATCTAACATATTAAAAATGCTAATGTTTCACCACGGATCCTACACAACTTGTAATCCATAGACTGACACCCTGTTTGATATAACATACAAGCTTTAGCATTGTCAATTTTCCATATAAGCTATGTACAGTAGAGTGTATTTTGATAAAAAGGGGTTAATTTGACTTTTGCTTTCTATGAAATTCAGGGACAAGGCCTTTGGTCTAAACAGAAAGGGCTAATTTGTGCTCAAAATGGAATTCTACAATAAAAAAAGATAGAAATATTATTCATATGATAAATAAAGGGTTAAAACCTTGAGTATTGCTAGCAACATCGTCAAGCAGCTATATGTCACATGAGTCACAGCCATCACAAATATAAACCGGTGCAGCTGCTCCAAACCTTCATGCGAAACAAATGACTCGTATCCCTGCACATCAAATGAACTTTATAAGAACACCAAAAGAAACAAAATTGCAAGATATAAGTTTTAGTAGGATGATTGGCTATGCTTTAATTCTCCGAGACAGTTGTGCGAATTAAAACATTTACACACCTCACGGCAGCCTTGGTGATTATGGTAACTAGTTTTTAGATTTCTCCTCAGTGAATGGTGCAGAATGACCTCCAGTAGATGCTTGCGAGCGTGAGCAATGGCATGCTCTGCATTTATCGATTCTTCAACCTCTTCTTTGGTGCACGGGGAGAATCTGCTGTTGTAGTACTTCGAATCGATGCAGATCCCTGAGATAATTCTTGACGTCGCAGCCAGAAGCAGAGATATGAATCCAAGCAACATCATTTCTGCAGCAAGAGGTAGCTAAGCCTTCTATAGTTCACGCTGCTTTCGTGACAGCCCAACAAAACAAGCTATGAAACACAACAAAGAACGTATATATCGATACCTACCTTCTTTCATCTTCTCCATTGCTTTGTAAAGTGGATTCCGGTGAGTTTTCTTCAACCACTAAAAAAGTACAGGACTATCATGAGTTGGTTACAGGGGAAAAAACTGATGATACTGAATTACTGATAATGCGATACCTAACGAAGTGAAGAGAAAAGCAACAGCAGATGGGGTTTGAACAGAGCACTCCGCTGTTAGGATGAATTGGTGGTGGAAAACGAATTTTGGTTCCAGTGCAGCTTTATGTTAAAATGCTTCCTTCAACCCATGTTTTGCTCAAAAACACCGGAGAGAAGAAAACAAGCAAACCTTTTTTTAAAAAAAAACATAAAAGCAAACAATTTCTCGAAACAGGATCCTAATTAATAAAGCAACAACTGATCATATATCTGACAGAAACGCAAGGACAGAACGCTTAAATCACAAACTAACTCCAGTTTCCAAATCCAAGAAATGCGCATAAACAGACAGACACGCCATAGACATGGACAAAAGAAAAGTACCAGTAGAAAGCATGATAAGCAGGTAAATTAATCATGAGAGAGTGCATCCTTGTGCTGATTGGGCATGCACTCACATTGCTGAGGCGGTGGATGGAGCGCTCGATGAGGAGCGAGCCCGCGACGAGGAGGGTGAGCACGGTGGCGACGGACCACGTCGGCGTGAGCGCCAGCGACCGCATCTCCCCCTCCTCCGAGACCGCGGCCGAGCCCTCGCCGCCCGCCATCTCCTCTCCCGCCTGCACGCGCAAAACCAAAGCCGGTGCTGCCGCTGGCTCTCCTTCTCCTCTCCCACCCTCTCTGTACTACTCCTCAGGACCGACCAACCGCCCTTCCGCGTATCACATTGGAACCAGCGCCATGGGAGGACGGAGGTGGCGGTGGCGCTGGGGGGAAGCTCAGCTCAGGGATGAAAACGAAGGCGAAGACCAGACCGAGACGCTGGAAATGCGAAGGGGGTTTCTTGGCCTCGTTCGGGGTCGGGGGAGGCGTCACATCATCGCCATTGACAGCGGTCAGGAAGGAGAGGAAGAAGCGCTGGAAACGAGAAGGAAAATGGGGGATCTTGGAGTATGATGGAGGAGCAGAAACGTTATGTATCTCCTCCCTCCGATTCTCCCGTTCGATTAGTCTATGATGACGATGATAATGGGCTCCCTTTGCTATATTTAGTCCCTGACGCTGGCTTTTGGAGCTTGCGGGGAGAGGGCGATGCGGTGCAGGCAAAACCTTGCCGCGAGCTCTCTGATCGCAACAGAATCTCTCTTGGCTCCCCTGGAAACAATGGCGGGTAGGAGAGGTAGCTAACGCGGGTTCAGAAGAGGAAGAGATGGAGCAACGGACAGACAAAATGGAGGATCAGCAAGAAGCTGGGAGAACGAGGGGAAATGATAGGCCTGCTTTTGGGAGCTTGTGGTGTGGAGCTGTGGCTGCGCCTTCCAGGATCAACAACACCAATGTACTGGGACTGGGAGAGTGGGAGGAAAAGGACGCAGCAGAAGCAATTTGCTGCGGCAGAGTGGAAGAATCGGCAGGGAAGATGACGGGAGGGAGATTAGGACAAAAAATTGACAGCCAAAAGGGGGATCTTGAGGAACGATAAACCATTTCGTTTTGCCTTCTCCCTCCTCCAGTTGCACAGTCCCATGACTCGCTGCTTAAACAAATGGAGCGGCCACGCCGCAAGAAGATTCGCGGGTGGCTCCGCCAGTCCGCCCTGGCTGCTCACTCGCTCTGCAAGTTCAGCGCTCCCACTGACACAGGCACGCGGAGGTGGGGCCTTCCGGGCACATGAGCTAGTAGTAGCTACTCCTAGGCCTAGCAAGAGGCTGACGTTCGTCAAACTGACAGGTGGGCGCGGAGAAGGGTGGGCCCGACGGTCAGTGTCTGTGTCGCTGCATGTGCCGGGGAGGGAGGAGAGGGGTGGACGCGTACGTGCGCCGGCCGCTGGGTGGGTGAGTGAATATAGGAAGCTGTCCGGTGTGGCAGTTGGGGTGGCGGATGCGCGCCTTCAACCAAATTAATTAAAAGTCGAATTCGATGCAAGCGGAGGCTTTGCTGTGCTTGCTTCCAATGCATTAAACAGCCTCACTCACTCACTCAGTCTTTGCCTTGAGTTCATGAGCTGCCTCCCCCACCACAACCACACGTTAATACAGTACATGAATCTCCTTGCTGTTCGCGTGATCGTGCAATTTGGCCTGGATTTAACGTGGTTGTGAATCGTGTACTCGCTCCGTACCTACATAAATACTTAATATATTTTTATAATAAATTGTTAGAAGATATAAATTAATAATATTTTTTTATAAATCTCATTGAATTTTAAAAACTTTGATTCGTCAGAAAAGAAATTATTTTGAAACAGAGAGAGTAGTGCCACCCACTTCAATCACCTGAGAGCGATTGAGCCACAAATGACATGTATTTAGAGCTTCATCTGTCGTCATCTATTCACGACATTTACACTATATAAAACATAAATGCATACTAAGTTTCATGAATTGGACCTAGGCTGCAGCACACCCAGCTCAGGTTCTAAGTCCATCTCAATTGAGAGCATTCACAAAAAAAGAAGAAAACGGCATCATAGCATCGTAAAATGATGGTTGCAACACTCCCAAGTAATTTTCGTTTCAGTCTATACATTTCTAAACTAAAGTGCCTTGAGAGGCCCTATTATACTCTCCTCAAGGCTACACCAAAAAAAAATCTCAAGAAATTAAGTGGTAGGAAACCCCTGGTTTCATGCAAGACAAAGTTAGATTCACATAGTGACATGAAAAAAGTCTTAAGTTAGATGTGACCTAGCACTGATGCGATGGTTGATTTGGAGCCACGCTTATCCAGCTTTCGATCTTGTTCTTTCTTAGTATTACTACTTCTCTAATCTCTCATTGTTCTAAAAATGAAGCGACAAATGGGTAGGAGCGCGTCACTTAACTTGGCAGCACACCCACCGGTAACCGGTTCAATTCAAACAAACTCGACTACTCTAGCGGCGGCATTGTCAACCGTGAACCTGGCCACAGCAGGCCTCACCACACAGGATCCTGCGCCACAGCTGCGGAAAGCGCACATGACTTGACGTACACCTTGCTTCCGTTGGGGATCTTGCAATGGCAATGCATAGGACGCCGAACTGATCATAGGCCTGGTTTAGTTGAGGGGAAAGTTGGAATTTAGCTATTATAGTACTTTTGTTTTTATTTGACAATTAGTGTTCAATCATGGACTAATTAGGCTCAAAACGTTCGTCTCGCAATTTCCCACCAAATTGTGTAATTAGTTTTTTTTTTCATCTACATTTAATGTTCCATACATGTATCGCAAGATTCGATGTGATAAATACTGTAGCACTTTTTGAAACTTTTTTTTGCAACTAAACACGGGCATAGTTGCCAAGGCCATTTATCCGATCCCAATCCACCCGTCAATCAGCTAGCAAAATCATTATGAAGAGCTCACCGAACTCCATTCCGCACACGTGTCGTGATCTGGAGACCCACTGGGAGATCCATCTCTACAGCTGCCCATTCCTACCAATCACAAATATCACCAGATGTTTCGCCACCGAAAAAAAAAATCATTTCAGCAGAAATGCATGGCTCATATAAAATCTGCCGTACTCGTCGACTCTCCTTTCAAGCGAGCTGTACACTTGTAGACCGTGTTTGGAACGTCGGAGTTTTTCTTTTACTGTTCCTGAGTTTTTTTTTCTCTATGAAGTCGAACGGATTTCTGTACAATTCTTGTGGAATTTCTGTACTCAATTCCAAACAGGTTCGTACTGTCTGTCTCCGTTTACTGGATGTAGGCGACGGTGCAGACGTAGTTGAGAGGGCTCTCGTCCTCGGAACTTGGCCACTCGAGGATGGTTCCGGAGGATGTCAATGGTGCAATCCTTCACTGCCCCGGTGCCCATGCCATGAACCACGAAGATCACCTGGTACGGCCTGCATGCATCGATGGCCATCCGGAGCTCGTAGGCCGCCTCCGCGACCCGTTTCCCGCGCAGATCCACCGTGTTCTTGGACGTCTGCACGATAGGGCCGAAGGAGAAGCTGCCGCCGCCGCCGCCGCCGTCTTGGTTTCGGTCTGCTGCCTCGGCTGTCGTTGCCGATCGCTGCTTCGGTGTTCGGCCCTGGTGGAAAGCAAACATGGTCAGAGCACGATTGCAGCAAAGCAAAGAGCAAACCAAGCCACGGCGATGGGCGTTTACAAGACATGCCGACCATGCCAATCCTCGATGACCCGAACATGCCTACTATCTAGGTACAGCAACGACAGAGTTAGCGAAGGTTCATGCATGAACCAGCCTTGCATCATTGCATGGACCATGTCCTAGGTCCAGCCTGTTCTTCCATGCTGCTGCATCTGCGCAAACTAAAGCCGGGCCAAGATTTTGCAGGTCAGAATCAATGCATTCTGTAGGGCTGAAGCTAACTTGGTTTCTCTAGACATGCTATCGCAATACGCCACGCGTTAGACAACGGGGAATGCCGACAAAATCGACTAAACTGGTTGGTCGATATGCCACCGATGCATGAACATGGAGCAACTATAGCTAGCTTAGTTTTAGAACCTTGGGTTTTCCAGTCACTGCTACCTTGAAACAGATTTTATCATCATATACTCGTAACAAATCACATGGCTTGGTTAAAAGATGTCTCAGACATTCTGAATATATCCGTTCTGTCTCAGACATTCTGAATATATCCGTTCTTATCATCTTGTGTGGTTCATTAAGATTACTAAAATTATCAATGGTGTGAATAGAAAGTATGTTGAGATGATGCATCATACCTTTGCTTTTACAGTAGAGGAAGCTGTTGCCTCGTTATTTGTCCCTCTTTGAACCAATTTTATCTTGTTTCTCTTGACTCGAACCTTTATCTTTCCATATTGAACCATACAGCTCTCATCTTCTCCCAAAGTTTCGACAACAGTAGCCATCGTTCCTCCCCCCAGCCCTTGAATATACACTTTGTCTCCAATTTGCGGGACAAACAAGCTCTGGTTTTCATCGTCATCGAAAGTTATTTCGTTTGGCTGATGAGCAGCAACCACGGAAGCAGTGGCAGCTTCTGCTTTCCTCATTAGCGAATTATATTGTTCAAGTTTTGAATTCTTTAGCTGAGCTTCAAAGTTCTTGATTATGGTGTCCATCTGAGACTTTACAACCTTCAATTCTTGTTGTACCTTTTGGGTCTCTCTTGTTCTCAAAGCAGCTACTCGGCTTTCAAGATCATCAGCTTCCAAACGAATCTTCAAAGTGAAAATATAACAGGTTGGATTTAAAATGAGAGGAAGGTGAGAATCTATGTACATCACTGCTATGGAAATTTCAAAGAATTAAGAGTAAAAGTACCTCATTGTACAACCCCTCAACTTGTGAAAGAACAGATGTAGCTTCATTCCAAAAGTTTTTTTTTCATTGAGGAGAGAATCATAAAGTAAACCTTGCCGCTCCTTTTGGTTATCAGGCAATAGTTTCTCAACCCATTCTTGTGCACAATCAAGCACTTTTTGATCAAAACCAATTGACTTTGCAATACTAAGTGCATTGGAATTACCAGTACTGCCCCATAAGATTCGGTATGTTGGTTGTAGAGTTTCTACACAAAATTCCATTGCAGCATTCTCAAACCGGTTGTCAACTGACTGGAGCCGACTTAGATCAGCATAATGGCCAAATTCACTTTACTCGCAAGATACTTCAAAATGCTGGTTGAAAGAGCTACACCTTCAGATGGATCAGTCCCGCTGCCAATCTCATCAATTAGAACTAGAGAATCTTTTGATACAATTTCTACTATCTTGCGCAGACGTGATATGTGCCCACTGAATGTAGAGAGGCTGTGCTCCAGCGACTTCAATCCAAAAAATAGTTTTCATCAATAAGCTTATTGGCCCTCAAGTGATTAGAGAAATTCTCATCAAAGGACAGAGACTACCTGGTGATCACCAATATCTGCAAGAACCTGATCGAACCATGGAATCCTAGGCCTTCCTTTGGCTGGGAAGAACATACCAGCTTTTGACATAAGTGACGACAGCCCCAAGGTCTTCATAGTGGCAGTTTTGCCTCCAGTGTTAGGTCCAGAGATCACAACTATCCTTGCGTCCATTTTTACCCACATGTCCAAAGGAACAGGCATTTCAGATGCTTCTGTAGTTGATTCTTCTGGCATAAGAGACTGTTCAAGTAGCAGAGGATGTCGAATGCCCTCAATATAAACTGAATAGTCAGTCCACTGATCCGATTGGCTAATGGTATAACTATCACAGAAGGTTGGTTTGACACCATTTGTCCATCGGGCATACGACCCTCTAGCACAAGCAAGGTCCAATTCCAAAACCCTCTCCATCAAATTTCTGATCTTCAGTTGGGAGTTTGCGATCATTGAGGTAAGCAAGCTCAGTATTGCCAATTCCTCTGCTCTCTCATCTCCTGAGAGTTTAATTTCCCTGTTGTTGAGCTCAACAGCATCCCGTGGCTCCATAAAGTACGTTGCACCAGAGCCACTGGAACTCAGAACAATTCCACCAGGCACCAAATGCTTGTGTGAAGCTTTCACACCAACACACATCCTAGAACGGCGCTTGGTGACCAGAGGACTATCGATCCCACCAGCCTGGAAAATCTTTGCTGATGTATCTTTAAGCAGAGATTCTAACATTTCGATGTTCCTCCTCCTTTCTCGGCGGATTATTTCTAGTTTCTTGCTTGCCCGATCCAGGACAAGAGAAAGGGTGGAATCAAGGCAAAACTCTATCCTTTGAACAAGTTCAGTTAAGAAGTCACAGCCTTGCAGTATATCGACAAGAGAAGAGTACCTGCAGGAGAACAAATAGACATTTTTTAATCTGAAAACAAGAACCAGAAAATATACATAGTAAACTTTTGTAATGTGTAAGAATACGTGAACAGTAACCTGGTGAATTACCACCACTATGATTTACGTCCACAAAGCTACGTTTCAGCTTTTCCACTACTTCTTTCCTCTGAGTTCTACTGCACAGCTGCTTGAAGAAGTTCCTAAATTCTGAAACAGCTTCATATACATCTTTGGGGGAAAAAAACCTCTTAACTGAAGAAGGACATGGCAAGTATGCGATTTCAGCTTGCCAACTGCCTTGGTATCATCTGCACTTATAAATTTTGCTAGGTTGGCTACATAACCATTTGGAAACTTGACAACTTGCAAAATTCTGCTATGTGTTTTTCCGTCATGACAGAGTGAACTTCCGGGAATTTAATGTGGCAGAACCGCCCGAAATAGCACGCTTCCGAAGGCGCTCGTCTTCCACCAGACACTAAGCACCCCGAAAGCTAGCTACATCAGACGGTTCCGTCGAGCACACCCCAAGGGAGAACTCGAACAATCCACATTTTTCCTCTAGGATCCGATAATGAGAACGAGTTTACATTACTTAGTCCATTCCATACAACAAAAGTTCTCAGAAATACATTATTACAATACCAAGTTCAGAGTACGAAATTTAAACAGCGGAATTAAAATAAACATCTAACGGTGAGATACAAGGATCCATCTATGCCCACCAGAAGAATCCTCCACACAACAGTCATTCCTCAAGCTGCACCTACAACAGGGGTAACAAATTCTGAGTACACAATGTACTCATAAGACTTACCCGATTAGTGAGAATAATTTTCCGACTCCAAAGGATATGGTAAGCTTTATGGTTTATTGGGTTTCCTTTTTGCAAAAAATCTTACTAGTTGTGCATCCTTATGTATGTTTTCTATTAGCAGTCATGATTAGTTCATTATCTAACCATTCTATGTAAACACGTGTTCTACTTTCAAGCAAGAGTTGAGCAATCAGATCTAATTCACCATCTTTCATCTTCCACTTCTTACTACGGTGCTAAATCGTAGACAAGTCGTACCGTATTACATGGCGATTCGTAAATCAATGTAGCCTAGCTAAGTACCCCGAAACACACGTCCCGCTTGTACCCCAGGCACAAGCAGGACTAACCCACCACCGCTTGTACCCCAGGCACAAGCAGGACTAACCCACCAAATTTGGACTCCAAGCCCCCACACTTGAGTTCTGGACTCAGTGTGGTGCTTAGACCTCTACCATCCCCGCCTCCAATCAGTCGGTCCGGAAAGAGCCGGAACCCACGACAAGAGAGCAACGAGCCTTCCCTGCTTCCATAAACAAGTATGTGCTTAGGATAATGAGTCTGTGACCTGACTATAATCCAATAAAATGGCCGGTCCTTAACCGACACGGACAGAAAAAATAGTGTAACCAAGCTATGCCCCGTTGGTCGTGGAACACAACCTCTTACACCCACCAATACCCGTACCATATCCCTGTCCAGTCTCTATTTCTTTTTACCATTTTATCATGAGAGTGATAATAATAATCACCTATTGTGAGTAACAGCGGGTTACTCACGCTACCGAAAAACCTAAGCATAGCAGCTACTCGACCTAAGCTAGTAGGACTTACAGGTAGGTATATCTATGCATGTAGTTTTCACAATAAGCCTGTAACGTAAATACACATCATATATATATATATATTCAGTGATTATTCAAAATAAGGGTTATGCACCGGGGCTTGTCTTGGGCAGGCACGGTGTCAGCTCAGTCAGTCAGTGGTGGCTCCGGGACCTCCTCCTACACGAGGATCTCCTCCTCGTACTCCTCGATCATCTCCTCGAACTCGTGATCTCCGATGGTCATGATCTCCTCCAAATCGTTCTCTACATGCATGCGATGATGATGCAACACATTAATATTAAGGCAACATCAATTCTTAAAATAAGAATACATCTACTAAGCTACTAAGCTATCTCTAATGGTTAAGATACTAACTAATCATTTCCACCAAAAACAGGTATGGATTCATCGAACGGATATTAACTTAGCAACTAAAATGTAATCTTACTCTTATTAGCGATTTAACTTATATTACCATAAGGAGCACCTAACTATGCAAGTACTTAGCCTAGTCTAAGGCTATAAAAATTACAGGGAGAACATAATAATACCATGAAGCTACTGTAAAATTTTCAAAGCTAAGGCTATCATCAATTTACCACAAAAATTTCTACAATGATTAACTTAATAATATTGAGCACTCTCAAATGATTTAATAGATCCTGGTATGAACAAGTATACATATGAACTATATATACTAACAGATAGAGTAAAATTTTAGGAACTTAACAAAATAGGTTTAACAATTTTTGGATACATACATGATTTTATATTACTTACCAAAGTTCAGCTCAGAAATACAAATGAAAAGCTATTTCTATTCTCCACGAAAAAGCTAAACTGATTTCAGCCCAACACGGCCCACACGCGCGCGAGCGCACGACGGCCCGCGATGCGACCCACACGGCACCGATCCACGCACGTGAGGCAGCCCGCGGCGAGGAGGACTGCATGCATGGAGACGTGAGGGCGGAGACGCGAGCACGAGAAATTGATGAGAGGTGCTCGCTCTCTGACTCACCGTGACGTGACCCGACGACAGCGGAAAATAGAGGGAGAGAGAGATGGGGTGCGACAGTGGGTTCGGCTCGTCCATGCCTTGGTAGGACATGGCCGACCGGACTTAAGGTGATGTATGTGCACCCGCTACATGACAATGCGGCCAGGTGGGGCGCGGCAGGCGCCGCCGTAGCGCCATTAAGGCAGGATGACGACGTGGGGCAGCCCACGTGTGAACTAGGACAAGGTAAACGGCAACAGCACAGCATCGTAGTGGCATCGCTAGCGGCAGCGTCATGACGCGAGGTGGGTCAGCAGTGCAGACACAATGGTGAGTTGATGGCACCGGCAGTGGCTCCGTCGCGGTGTGTGCGGGGCAGTCGGCAGCAACCGCAGCGGCTCCGCGTGGTGGGGCTAGCGGCAGCCGAGACCTGGCTAGGCCAGAGACGGCCACGGCTGGCCGTGCGTGGCAGCGCGCGCACGCACACGCATGACCAACGCGGCGATGCCGAGCGCCCAAGCGCGGTGATCGCGGCCACGCGACCAACCAGCCCGAAATCGGTAACGCGCACGAATTTTAAAGCGCTCAACACGACTAAACGATTGGTCCTAAACCTAAACCGTCTTCACCATGCTCAAGATGGCACATGAGACTACCAAATCGAGCTATAACACTATACCACTCCTTAACCCAATCTCTCGCAATAAATTGCTAAACATAGCAGTGTCTAACTGTTGGTAGACTTAAAAAATTCTAAGTTTTTTTAGCTGAATTTGATTTCAAGTTCTGTTTCTAGACTATTAGAAATACCAGCTAGTAACATTATTTTTCGACCGCAAGTATTTCACTGTCATCTACAAAGTTTGTACTTCAAACTTTATTCAAGTATCTCATACACGTTCTATAGCATTTTTGCTTAATAAAAATTGGTTTTAAACCCTAAGTGATATAACATGACTATCGAATCAACGTTCGTTTCACATTTTAGTTGATCGTTTCGAGTTACAGAAATTGATCTTCACACTTTATCACATGCATTAACACATAAACATGATGCTCATGACATGTTTTAGTAAATGATTTGTGGTGTAACAGGGTGTTACATTTAAGCGAGGAGCCTTGCTGTTCGCCGTGATATTGAGGCCTTATGTTCATATCATGCAAATCTATCCTAGCATTCGTTGTGTCCTTTGTCTTGCCCTCCACTTTCAGCAATGTCCAAAGAATGTTTTCACATATATTCTTCTTAATGTGCATGACATCAAGATTGTGTGGCAGCAACAGGTCCTTCCAATACGTTAGCCCCCACCAAGCATATTTTTATTATAAATCACTCACTCTTCTCTACGCTTCCGTTTCCTTTTTCTACCGTGCTTACCTGGGCAGACATCTTTCACCTTCTCGAGTTCCTCAAGAACCTCCTGTAAGGTGAACTTTTCCGACGCATCTCGGTCCTTAGTTTCTCCATCAAAATCCAAGCTCTTCCTCCAAGGGTGATCCCTAGGAAGGTAGCGACGATGTCCAAGGTAATCTGGCTTCTTTCTTAGGCTCCTTGACAATGGATTTTTGTCGCAAAAAATACATGCTTAATAACCTTTTGTAGTTCGGCCTGACAAAGTGCTCAATGCTGGAAATCGTGTATGCACCAAACCATGGTAGCGTGTAGAGTTAAGCCTTTCTTATTATCAGGATGTAGTACATGAAAAGTGTTGACACCCTTCCATAGTTCTTTTAGTTCTTCTATAAGAGGCTCCAATAATACATCAAAATCCTTTCCTCGAGAGGTTGGGCCCGGGATCAGTAAAGATATAAAGCAATTCGATGGGTTCACACTTTCCCATGGTGGCAGGTTCAGAGGCGTTACAAAAACAGGCCACATACTATATGACGAGCTATAGTTGCCAAATGGATTGAAACCATCCATGGCGACGACAAGCATCAAGTTCCTTGGATCATCTACAAAAGTTTTGTGCTTTCTATCAAAGTCCTGCCATGCCTCCCCGTCTGCTGGATGGCTCATTTCACCGGTATTCTTCTCTCGCTTAGTCTCATGCCATTCGGCGTCCGCTACTGTTCCTCGAGCAGCAAAGATCCTTTGCAACCTCGATATTAAAGGAAAATGCCTCAAAACCTTTTGAGGAACCCGCCTGCTACCATCTGCATCCTCCCATCTAGACTCTTTGCATTTTGGGCACGCTTGCAATTCCTCACGATCACCCCAAAACAACACACATTTGTTCTTTCACACATGGATACTTTCATAACCTTGTACCAGTTCTCGAATATATTTGCGTGCCTCCTCACATGATTTTGGTATGTTGCTACTAGGGAATGCATCTGACTACAATGCTAATGGTGCATTAAAATAGTTGTTGCTAACTCGATAGTGGGACTTGATATAGAGCAACCTGACAAGAACGGAGAATCTTGAGAAGGTAGATCCAGAAGAAACTGATTGCTTCAACTCATCCAACACTCTTTCAAACTTTGGAACTCTTTGAGCCCGCTCTTCAGATGTCAACAGGTTTTGAACTAAATCATCAAAATCTGGTAATATGTTATCGTCCCCGTCCTCCTGCTCCTCCTTCTCCGCAATCCAACCATCATGATGAGATCCATGCACATCTGATGGCTTTATAATGTCAGTACCTCCTCCCTCTTCCCCATGATGAATTCATGTGGTGTATGTGGGTGACATTCTATGTATAAGTAAGTCGTCCTTCACCTCCTGCCAAGTTTTAACCACCTGGTTAAGACAATGTGTACACGGGCAAGGGATGTTTTGCTCTGGATATTTTTGTTTCACCATATCCATGAACTCTTCAACTCCTGCGATGAACATCGGTGAGAATGGTCTCCCATTAATAATCCAGGATCTGTCCATCTATTACAGCAAAAGTATGCAAAGTCTGTTATAGTTTTGACAATTGGGCGGACAATGGAAAAACTAGCATTAGAAAAAAGCATACAATGTTCGAGAGCACTAATCTATGCATTTGTTCATATCATACTATGGGACAGTCTAGTTTTCTATTTTTGTGTGACAAAAGCATTGATTTGAATTGAAATTAATACAGAATAGCCTTTCTTTATGTGTTCTTTACTTTATCGTGTATAGAAAATAGAGTCCTATAATCATAGAAGAAGGTACTCATACCTTTGTTCTATGAACTAGCACGGCTCGATTGCGAGACGCCTCTGCCACGGCACACACCTAATCACGCAGATGCTAATGCCACCACGCTCCACCGGGAGAGCCCCGCCACACCACCAAAAGGACGCCTGAGCCACTGTAGCAGACCTATCCAATTTATAAGAGCACAAGTACAATAGTAGCCCAGAAGCGGTCGCACTGTCATACTTGAGCCCATATAAACCCGGTAGTCTATCGAGTACCACGAAGGGTCTCGATTCAACCAACATACAACCAAGATCGTACATGATTCATCATACATATCACAAGTTACATAAAGTTCACAAATATAGTTCCATACATCAGAGTACAATTAAAAGTTATTACAAACTAAGTTTCAATAAAGCAAATAGAGTTTGAAACCAACATCTATCATCATTGTTCAAATATGCTGCCAGCTCATGATCACAATCCCATAAAAGCATAAGAGAGGGATTAACAAGAGATGCTATGACAGAACTGCCTAATCTAATGCCTCCTAGGAGTGCTTGTCTTCCATTAGACACTAAGCACTCAGGGGAGAACACTAAATTACTCGGTTCCATCGGGCACACCCCAGGGGAGAACCCGAAAATCCATATTTTTGCCATCAGGATCACAAATGAGAGAATAAAGCTTAAATCATTCTTAACTATTTCTTACATCACATGTAGTACAACGGCAGAGTATAATATTTATTATTAAGACAACATAATATAATCATATTATTAGAGTTATGAATAATTTAATTGAACAGCGGAATATAAACATGTGAACAGAGTTACAGCGGAAATAAATATTTATTAATGACATGATGAAGTATTGATATATAAACTACGACAACAGATTATGAAACTTTCATTTATAAAAGCATTTGGTGAGAGTTATAAATAACAACTACGATCACAGCGTAAAGGAATCCTCGCTGAGCCCACCAGGAGGAATCCACACCCAAGAGTCAGCTTTAGCATCCACCTGTCACCTACAACAGGGGGAATAAAACCCTGAGTACTCAATTGTACTCAGCAAGACTTACCCGACAGGAGAAAATAAAAGACTCTAAGGATATGTAAGGCTATCTGGCTTGTGGGTTTATTGCATTTGCAGGAAGCGTTACTAAGCGTGCGACCTTATATTCGATTTTTATTAATAGCTGCATTGGTTCCTTAACTAACCATTATATGTAAGCACCTGTTCTACTTTCAAGTAGGTGGTAAGCAATCAGATTTCCTTTTTTCATCTTTCCTCTTCCAGTTCTTACTACGATGCTAAACCGTAGACAAGCCGTACCGGATTTCTCGGCAATTCGCGAATCAATGCCCCTAGCTGGGTACCCCAAAAACACATGCCCCGCTTGTACCCCGGGCACAAGTAGGACCAACCCATCACTCTCATGTCCCGAGTGTCCAGGTCCCCGTCCAAACTGGGACTCCAAGCCCCCGCCCCTGAGTCTCGGACTCAGTGCGGTGCAAGGACCTCCTTCACCAAAAAGAAACCCTGACAGTCGGTCCGGAAAGAGCCGGATCCGCGACAAGAGAGCAACAAGTCTTCCAAGCGCCCATACACAAGTATGTGCTTAGGATAAAAGTCTGTGACCTACCTAGAGTCTTATGCAACGAACGGTCCTTAACCAACACAGACAGGGAAAACGGTGTAACCAAGCCATGCCCCGTGTCCACGGCGACACAACTTCTTACACCCACCAATACCCAAACCATATCACTGCCTGGTCACCATTTTCCTTTCCACCATTTTTATATTTTCCAAGTGATAATAATACAGTAATATAGTTCCTATCTCTTGCGAGTGATAGGCAATCACTCGATTTCTATCGGAGTCATGTAGCATAGCAATGTACATGATCCTGTCATACTAGTAAGACTCATAGGATAAAGATATATATATACAAGTGGGTTTCATTCAACTCATTAAAACTTAATGCACAAATATAATTTAAACTACAGAAAAGTAGGGGTTATGCACCGGGGCTTGTCTGGGTAAGATATATTAAAAAGTTAGTATCTGCATCTTCAGATCATCCACCACCAACTGCATAGAAAGCCCATTGCATCATCTCCGGAGAGAATACCATTACACCCTTTTCGGATCTCCAATCCTCCTTCAATTGATCTGTTGATCCATCATCGTACCTATATGATATGCATGCGATGCAAATGCAAATATGTAATTAATCAACTGCAACCACGACTCGTAAAATACGACGTACGCCTCTCGAGTTAACGGGCTAATTTTAACGACGACCGTACTTAGGCTACATATACACGTTGTCGGATAAGGCGTTATTTCCCAACAATTATTTTAGCTATATAAACCCAAGTTGTTTCATTATTTCATTCCGTCCCTTTAATCTTTGCTCGAAATAGGTTATCATTATCAATTTAGCAAACTACTTATTCTGGAGCTACAAAAACTACAGTGAATACCTAATATTGTTAGGAGCCTATTATACAATTTTTAGATCCAACACTATTACCACTATATCACAATAATTCTTACAAGTTTATATTTTTACAATATTAAGTACCTTAAATTAATTATATAGCTTTCAAGAATATTATCGAACTATATGAATAAAATATACTAATAGGTAGATCCTGATTTTAGAGACACAACAAAACTAGTTTGATATTTTTATGATTTTTATTTGATTTAGTACGGATTTATAAACTTCAGCCATATTAGATAAAATAGCAAGCTCAGCAGAAAAAGAAAAAACAACCCACACCAAGCACAAGGCCAAAGGTAGAAAGAGCATGCCGCCCAAAGTAGGTGGCTAACCGACCAGCGGCCCAACCAGGCGGAGGCGCAAGCGGTGGAGCTGCCCAGCGCCAGCAGCCCACTCACACCGCCCAGCCATGGGTGAAGTGGCGAGCGGCCACGACGACTTGCTGGCGAGATGGCTCAGCAGGGAGTTTGGCCCACGAGAGAGCCAAAAGGCCAAAGGCAAAGCGGGCGTGACCAAAGAACGCGACCGGTCGGCCCAACGCGTGGATTTAGCCGCCAGCCGCTACGCGGCACCGCTCCAAATCGGACTTAGCGATTTATGCATAAATGACCCTGCGTTTTCTAAAAATTAACCCACGGGACACAACACTATTTAAGTGAGTCGCGTATTTTGCAGTAAAGACCCCGTATAACGTTTCTTCTTGGATTATCACCCGTCTCACCTTCCTTCTTCCCAGGAATAGAGCGCACGGAGCAGAGGAGGTCCGACCGGCGGACACGGCGCCAGCGACGCCAGCGCAACGTGAATGCGGGAACCAGGCCACCACGACGCGGTGGTGCGTGACCCCGGTAGATGCACGACAAGCAGCACCCCGGCACCGGCAGACATGGCTCTCCACGTGCTGGGCAGGGCGCAGCGAGCTTCGGCCACGGAGGCATCGATGACGCCCACCTAGGGCTGCGCCAGTGGAGGAGCATGGCTATGGTCCAGCGCGGGGAAGGAAAGAGTCGCCGGTGCTTCGTGGGCCCAGGCACGCATCCGAGGAGCAGCAGGCCCGCGCGGAGCCAAGGCGGGCACGGCAGGAGCCATGGGGGCAGGACCCCACGACAGCAGCAGCACGGGACAGGCCAACGACGGCAGAGGCGCGGTGGGGCTGGGGGCAGCGAATGAGAAGTGCGTGCGCTAGGACACCTCGGCGGCAGCGGGCCAAGAGGCTTGCGCGCGCAGCGCTTCCACACGAGGTGACCGCAATGGTGCATCCAGGGCTTGGTGGTGCGGCGAGGAAAATGAGGCTGGAGAATGGAGGCTCGGGAGTTGCGAGTATGGGACTTCAGCTTTGCAAGGTGGTGGGCGCTGGTGCATGTGGTCGAGGTGCCGTTGTGAGAGAGCAAGCGAGCGGAACTTGGGATGCCTCCCTTCGGCAGCAGTGGGAGGCAGCGTTGTAGTGGTGCAGGGCCAAAACACGACGCGAGCGAGTGAGCTGGACTAGCTGGGCGACCATATTTACACAGCTCGGCCATCAGTGGTCGCGTATGCATTAAAGGCTCGTGGCGTTCGCCCGATATGACTTAAAGAAAACGTGCAGCGACGTTCCGTGACGGGACAGCTCAGCTTAGCTGGACGCGAAGACAGACCTCGGCGCTACGACCCAGACATTAGCGCGATGGGACAACGAAGGCAGACCACAATTTAGCGACAGTGATGGCACACGTGCTGGAAGCCTAGTGAGTGGTAAACGCTGCATGTAGAGTCACTGCGCTTGGTATGGCGGACGACACATCCCTCGCCAGCAATCGCCGCTTGTCATGCAACTGATGTTGAAATAATAATAGTGAAGGCAAGGGCAATGCGGCGCGACGCAAATAAATCAAATGACTGATTCAGATCGGGGGAAAACAACACCGTCGTACCGGCGAGGTAGGTGGGACGAGTGGCCAGCGGCATTCTCGTTTTTATTTCTATTTTGTTTTAAGTTTTAACCCGATTAACTTCCACCGATAATTATTTCACGCAAAAGTTCATACTTCGCACTAACCCATAGAGACAAAATATTTAAGCGTTATTTAATTACTTTGCTCAATATAGTTTGCTAAAAATGGTATTTTAACCCTAAGCTCAATATTTAAGTTTTAAAATTCGAGAAACTCGTTCTGGAAATTTTTCTCAGGCCTAAATCGCAGTGCTAAACGAGCTCGTAACACCAGGGTGTTACAACCAACCCCCCTTAAAAAAGAATCTTGTCCCGAGATTCGAAGCAAGAACCAGAAGAGGGGAAACGCGATTACATTTCGTAGTTTAGGGATTACACGAAAGATTACATGACTTCGAATACTAAACCACACGGGGATCTAGGGATACATGGTTAAGAGCAACCTGGTACAACGGAGACTTACTCCAGAAGTCGAGATAGACGAGGACAATGGAAAAACAACAAGAAGATGGTTATCCAAAACATGGCGTAGCACCAACAGATCCAAAAACAGTCGACTGAGAAGTAAAATATCGTGAACCCTAAGATTGACTACCCAAAATGGGAACTTGAACTTCTTCGATGAAACAGACCATTTCTTCTTCTCAGATTACACCATCACTTCAGAATGACAAATCTCGCTTCATAATGGTGACTGGATCTCATAGCTTTGCTCCGAATGCGAGGGGAATGGGGATGAAGAAGAAAAGCAAGGACCAAGGGTATCTTATATAGGCGAATGGAGGTGGGGAGCAACACACCGAAAGTGGAGATGGCATGGATGAGGTACAAAGACAAGTCATGTTGTGGAGATAAACACGACCATGGTGCGCTCCCTGCACAAGCGGTAGAGGGGGAATTCAAGGAGAGGAGAGGGGGTCCGCTCGACGAGGCAGGCGTGCGGGCGACCATGTTCACAAAAGAAGAAAGGAGGGTGGGGAAGGAGGGGGGTCCGGTACAAGGATGAAGGCATGGGAGCCGAGAGCTGACCGGACGCTAGAAAAAGGAAAAGCGCACAGTGCTCAAGGACAGCGAGTGCGGCACGATGCCGTGGCCACATGAAAATAGGGTGCTACACGCCCGATACAGACAGCGTTCGCAGGGCACGCAGCGAAATGACCCAGCATGCGTAGCGCGGTCAACTAAACATAGGGCTTGGGACATGACATCCACTCAGACGTTTCAATTACTCCCAACTATCCACTGCTAACTTTCCTTACTACTCTTCTTTTTCTTTCCTTCCTTGACCACATCCGTCATTCATGTAAACTAAAACCACGTCATACGTTCTTCCTTCAAAACCACCTCCTCTGGTTTACTTCGAAAGAACACTATGTCATCAACCCATTGTGGATTTCCCGTTTGAACACCTGAACATTTCCAAGGAAATTATTTGTAGCAAAAGCGGTATGGCAGGGTAACTTGGTAAAGGTACTTGGTCAATAATCTCGATACCAGCGCGTGCCGAGCAGCGTCACCATGTGGCAGCTGTTCCATAGGGAACCCTCGGTGTCATCACGGCACCATAAGCTTTTAACTAGGCAGCTATTACCAACTTACACGCTATGAAGGTAGTGGGGTCATAGACCACAGAATAAGGGGAGTATTGTAAGGGAAAATTCAAACAACAAAGGTTCCCTCCACAACAAGGGACAAGGAATTCAAATCCAACAACGGATTTGTTTTAAGGAGATTCAAGTGTTCTGCTGGGACATCCATAATTAGTCGATACAGTGTCTTCTCCAACCACGACTGGTTTGCCGGTATCTGAATAGCAACTTCTCTTGTAATCCACCTAACCTCACCCTTGAAAGCTTATAGCACATCTAACGAAGCTTAAGGTAGATGAACGCAATAAACACAGCAAAATAAACAAAATGCATATTTCAAATGGTCTTATACGGGTACAACGTATAGGCATTCAGGCTCCCATTCACGACACAACATTCACCTACGGTCGAACGAGCCCAACAACTATGGACGACAACAACGGCAAGAGTACAATACCGGAGGACAGCAACGAAAAACACTACTATTACAGGTACAACATCCCAAGGCAACTAATCTACATCTTCTCGTGGCAATGGCTGAGTGAGAGGAACCAAGGGCTCTTCTTCTAACACTTCTAAGGGTGGAGGTGCTGGCGGTGCTGCAACACCAGTTCCTCTTCTTTTTGGCTAGTGGATAGGGATCCCTTCCAAGATCGGGGCATCCTACCTTTCAGTAGCCAACGCTCTCCGCTCGGCCCTAGTGACAAGATAGGCCACTCGTAGCTGATGGACATGTCGATCTTCAGCCTCCTTTAGGGCTTCTGACATGGCAGTCTCTTGGCCCTCAGCAGCTGTAGCACTGGCATGCGCTTCGGCGAGTTGCACCTGGAGCATCGGTTGAAGATCTCGGCTTCCCTGGCGTGCTGAAGGCACGCCCCCAGTTCCAAGGCTTGACGGTCGTACTGCTCATCCAGAGCGAGCAGGTACGTGGTCAAGTGCACCACGATGGGACTGTCCTCTTGCGCATCTCACCCTTGCAAAGCCTCCATGCGAGCCCTCCATGCTCGCCGATTCTTGTCCAAAGGAGGAAAGAACCGCATGGGGGTACGGGCAATGGGCTCCTCATAGATCTGGCAGAGGTATCGCAAGGATTTACGGGCCACAACCTAGTAGGTGTCGATGAAGCGAAACCTAGTTGCGGTCATGCTCCAGGCTTCAGTGAGGTCGGGGAACTCTTCACTCTTCCCGATGTAGACGGTAACCTCACACCGCTCGGTGCCATACTCCTCATACTCATGGCCCTCATACCCAGGATGATTTTTGACTCTGAGCTTTTGTAGGGTGGCATGCAGGATTTTGGGAAAACCCTCAACGTTTAGGCAATAGGTACTAACCCAGGCTCCTGCCATAATTATTTCACGCAAAAGTCCATACTTCGCACTAACCCATAGAGACAAAATATTTAAACGTTATTTAATTACTTTGCTCAATATAGTTTGCTAAAAATGGTATTTTAAACCTAAGCTCAATATTTAAGTTTTAAAATTCGAGAAACTCGTTCTAGAAATTTTTCTCAGGCCTAAATCACGGTGCTAAACGAGCTCGTAACACTAGGGTGTTATAGATGCCTTGCCCAAGGCCCTACTCCTCGTCCATGGTAGGATAGAAGCAGTTCTTACAGTAGCCATGATACATCGTATTATCTGCAACAAGGGGAAATAAACCCTGAGTACAAAAAGGTCCTCAGCTAGACTTACCTATCATAAACTAAAAATAAAGTGACTCCAAGGATTATGTAAGGCTGTATAAGTGGAGCTAGCTTGACAACATTTTGCATAAAAGCTTATCAATTCAAGCATACAATTATAATTCGGTCATCAAGTTAATTATAGCTATTTATCTCTAGATTAGCAACTAACCTGTGCCAAACATGTGGTATATCATTTAGTAGAATAACAATAATAACCATAGCCGGTGTAGTAATTTCATGTTCTTCATAACCATCATTCCATAATACACTTATTACGATGTTGGAGCTAGCTAAATTTCTCACTGTCCGGGAGAGACGATGATTCGAATCGATTTCAACCAACTGGGAATTTATTCCTAACACAAACCCAGGCAGACTAGATCAATGGTCACCTTATGTCACCTTTGGTACAACTCAGGTCCACATTTTGTGGGTTCGACCAGCGCCGCATAATCAGGGACAACCAGCTGTCAGGACATTTAGGCCCGGCCTGCCCTTGGGCTCACGTTTGGCTCCCCCACACATCCTTACTACCATCCAGAGTGCGTACTTTTATAGAACGGGGCCCGACTTGAGTTGAGCTACTCGGCTTCACGGTCAGAACAAGTTATCCAGCCAGCTAAGTGAGAGGCATGCGTTTAATCTCGACAAGAGTCCCAACAATGGCACGATCCTTGAT